TTTGCTGCGCTCCTTATGTCTATGGGTCTTAGCTGTAGATAACGGGTCTGGAACCTGACTCGTTATGTCTAGGGGTCTTAGGTCTAGTTAACTGGTCTGGTACCTGACTCGTTATGTCTAGGGGTCTTAGGTCTAGTTAACTGGTCTATAACTTGAATTAATGTGTGCGTTTATGTGAGAAATCAGCGTAGGCGCCTAGGTGTTGAATGTACAGGTGCCCAGGGAGACAGCAACTTCAGGGCCAGCTCCGTCTTGATCTCTTAGTCGGCCAGTCCAAGCAGAGTATTTTTTGTTCAGATGGTGACGAAAATAAACCTACAAAACAGAAAACTACAAACAGGCATGTCCCAAACTAAAGACTCAAAACCAAACAAAAAGGTCTCATGGCCACCAAACAAAACCTGCATTCTTACAGCTTACCAGCTGGGACACTGACTGACCATCACCCTAATTGGCTACACATGACATGCTTATCAACCAGGCTCAGCAATTGGACAAGGTTGCTGCTGCCCCCTGGGGGAATGGAGTGTGGAAGTGTATCCTGGATAGTGTATTTGTCTGTGTCCTAACACTAACCTAACAGTAGCACATCAGTCCAAAACAATGATCTGACCTCAAGACTTTGCAATCATTGAAGATGAAACAGTTTAAACTATTTACCCTGACTCCATACACTGTCAAAGTTGCCAGTTTTAGGACTTTGGTCAGAAACTGTGAAATGGTGCAAAATCTGGCATTTGTCACTCAGCTTGAAAAGCCAGTTCAGACATGAATAGGCCTGCCCCTGGAAATTAGACAATCTCTTTATGTTCCTGTGTATATTCCTGAATTATTAACGTTTTTTCATTGCCTAATTTCTCAAATTAAGCAGTTTGAATCATTTTTCATGTTTGGAAAGGACAAACTGTAGCTATGCTTCTAAGTTTTGTTTTGGGGCCAAAGGTTTTCCACAATAATGAGGTGTATTGGAAATATGGCCCTGGAGACTGGAACATTGAAGGACCATTGCGTAGTTAGAGTTCCGTGGTCGATGACTGTTGATGCCACTTCTCACTGTAGCTGTCAGCTGAACATTAACTCAACATTTTAAAGGGGGATGTTACGTAACGTTATGGCTCTGTCCTGGTGTGAAGTCAAGAGCTGTTTTGAAAGGTTGTCAACAACAACCTACAACCCTGGACTCTATCCTTCATTAAACATGTCAGTTGACAGAGTAGACTTCCACTCACAAACACTGAAAGCTGAGGTTGAGTTATGTATTCACGTTGGACACGCAACTCAAACTCAGCTTGCAGTGTTTGTGAGTGGAAGTCTACTCCGTCAACTGACATCCCCTAACATGTCACTGATGTGTTTAATGAAGGATGTTGGTGTTCTGTTTAATCAAAAAATTGTCCAGTGTACCTGCATCACACATCATGTGTTTCCTCACAGTATCACCCAAAGAGAGGGGTCAGAGAAAGCTATACAACACAACTCTGAAAACAAAACTGGTGCTTAGATTGACAGTTGAAACAATGCGCATGCAAAAAAAGATGGCAATGAAAGTGGTTTGTACACACCCACGCATTTGCACATACACACATACACACATACACACATACACGAGGAACCCATCAAGGACCACACACACCCCAGCCATGAGCTGTTCTCTCCCTTACCGTCGGGCAGAGGGTATCGGAGCATGAGGTCTGATACCAACAGGTATCAGAGACAGTTTCTATCTACAAACCATCAGACTGCTGAACACTTGAACTGGACTGACCACCAGCTCTGATTCTCCACCCCTTGCACACACCCACACAGACGTACACACACACAGACACACACATTCATGCTTCACACACATCACAACTGCTCCTACCAGACTCTTGTTATACCGCTCAATTTAAACACTTGCCCCCCATTCCCCCCTTTCCCAATACACGTGTAACTATTGGACTATAAATTGTACCTTCCTGTATTACACTTATGCAAAAATATTTAATCTATTCTACTGAGCCATTTCTTTTATGTTCGTATTCTTATATTTTATTATTTCTAATTGTGTTGCATTGTCGTGAAGGAACCTGCAAGTAAGCATTTCATTGGATGATGTATACCATGCTTATCCTATACATACGATTAATAAAAAACTTGAAACTGGATACACACACACTGAATCTAATCCCACTGTGTGTTTTCACCTCCACTGTCAGACAGTAGGCCTATGGTGCAGCTGCTGTTGTGATGTAGCAATCACACGGCCTCCTCATCTCCCTGAACTGGCCTTATTATAGGACTGAGAAAACCTTATAATGTCCCACAGTCCTTCTGTGAGGGCCACACCGAGAGAGAAACAATCTATACTCCCATTCTCTCTTTCCATCACCATCAATTCATTCTTTGCTCTCTTTGTCGGTCAAAGAGCACTTTGAGTGTATAGTATCGAGCATTTCCAGGGACTGAACATTGTTGGTGAGGTATTGTGTTTGTGTGTGTGTTTGTGTGTGTGTGTTTCCGGTAAGGGAATGTATTAATATTGAATATCATTCCCATAACTCTTCAATTTTTCCTTCCCTCTCTTCACCCTCCCCCGATTTATGTATCAAGTAGATAAACACACTGCTCCAAAGTTAATGGAAAAGATTCTTGAAGATGATACTAACTAAAGAGTGGGACAAATTACTCTCACTGCATACAATCCATTATTCAGATGTTCTGTGTTGCTTAGCTGAATGTTATTCTTACCACCGTATTTGGGTAAATGTTAGTTTAGTGTTGCCTGAGCCTTGACATCATTAAGTCTCCCTGAAAAGAATAGGATCAGCCATTTAAGCAACACCATCCTTTTCTGATGAGGATAAAAAACACTTTAGAATCAACCTGAGATTACAGTGGCTAGAGCGGCTGCCTTTGGGTCAGTCCTGCTGACGGCATGAGGTGGCATGGTGAAAGTTTGGCCTGACTATGACCTAGATTCGTCCCATAGAGGGGATTGTGGTATGGACTGCATTTGCAACAGAGTGGCAAGGCATCAGTCATTTTGTGTTTGTGACTCCAGTCGGTAGAGTGCACTACTTCAGATGTTTTCTAATCATAGTAAATGAACAGAACATGGAAATGTACTTTAGAGTAAATATGTCTTTGTGTAGAGGGACAGAATGGGGTCTCTGCTATCGATCAAAAACAACCACTACTGGCACATTATAAACACAACGCTCTGTTCTCCCTAATGTTCCCCTACTTCTGGTCAACCCAGGGAAAATGCCTCTCGACTGCAGCGAACAGAGAAGAAGTGTTGTCTAAAAATGGCTGTTCTGTTCAGTATTAGATAGGCGCTTTATAATATATTGTATTTTAAAAAGCTCCTATTTTTGTCTCCAGAATATGCTTGTTTAATCTGTCATCTCTATAGGCTCACCATGTTTTCTCACCATCTTATTTTTAGACCTCCAGACGTCTGTGTGAAAGTGCAAGGAACACAAATCAGTCAAGTTAATACCTCAAACATTTCCTGCAATTTATGATAAGAAATGAATGTGTGTTTTGGTCATTGCACATTCTGGATGAAGTGAGACAGCAGAAAGCATTAGGCCTATTTCCAGAAAAAAGTATTCATTTTCATCATTCCATTTATTTATTTTTTCTTTCACAGTACCAAAACAGATGAACCAATGCAAAACCAATGCAATAATACTTGATGTAACTACCTTCTTGCCTCCCAGTCAAATGTTAATCACATACCCTTACACTTTTCCAGCGTACAGATCCCAGATTTAAAATCCTCAAGGCTCATCTCCCAGTCTGTTTGACCATAAGATCACATTCCATGGTAAGATAACATGACATCACCCATAGTCTCTTGTGACTTCAGAGATAATAAATATAGATATATATGAAGGCACGTGCTGTCGGTAAAATCAGATGAAACATTTGTAATAACAGTAATATTACATGTCTTGTGGCACAGATATAACAAATCCACATTTACGCCATTTGGTTGCCCCAGTCAAAGCCATTCACTGTATAGACATTCAGCAAATGTTTTTAATCTAAAGTGATTTAGAATGAACACATAATATCAGTATATTCTACAGTATATTTGGCCCATGCAGGAATCAAACCCTCAAGTCTGGTGCTGCAAACAGCATGCTTGAATTAACATAACAATTTTAACTATGTCTTATAATTGCACATTAGCTTCGTGTCCACAGGAGTCCATAGACATTTAATTTATTTTTATTTTACCCTTATTTTACCAGGTAAGTTGACTGAGAACACATTCTCTGGGGAACAACAACCTGGGGAATAGTTACAGGGGAGAGAAGGGGGGATGATTGATCCAACTGGAAGCAGGGGATGATTAGGTGGCCGTGATGGTATGAGGGCCAGATTGGGAATGCCATGTGGTCTCCTGTACAGTGCATAGGAGTCCTTAAAGTCAGTGATGGCTTCATTCACAGTTAAAGAATCCAAGGTTTTTAAAATCCCATCACTAGGACAGCAGTCTCAATTCATTCCAATCAGTAACTGATCTTGATGAAATGCACAATTTGTTGATTACTTTCCTTCAACGTACGATCACTGTAGGTTGTATGACTAGGTGCTTCCGACGACTTCTTTATCGTTACTTGTCATTTGGTTAAAAAAGACAAAGTCAGTCAGTAATTCGGGCCTATCAGACAGCACCAGTAACTAATATTACAAGCGTCCAGTCATATCTTGGGCTTATCATATTGTGGACGTGTTCCTTTGCCCAGGCGTTGCTGACGCATGCCAGATCTTACAACGCCTGGAAAGGTATTTTATGTACCAGCTAACCACATCATATGTTATAGCAATCTGGTTCCCGATGGCATAGTTGATGACGTGGCACGCAACCATTGGTTGAGCAGGGGAACGCAACCTTTATCTTATCTTAGCATCTCCCGTCTCTCCTCCAATGACATCTCATCTTCCTCCTCTCTGCCCCGCCCCCGTCCTCTTCCTAATCCAATCCCGTCTGCTGCCCCTGCTACCGGGTCCTCAAGTTCCTCCTCTGAGCTGCAGGCACTGCGTTGGGCGCCCCGGGAGAAGATCCTGCGACGTGATTGGGCGCTGAGGTCCAGCAGATCGAAAGAATCGGAGGAGAGGAGGCTGTCCTCGCTCACCACGCTGGGGGGCCTACTGCCCCCGGAGGCCTGGTGGAGCTGCTGCAGGGCCTCAGGGAAATGAGCCAGAGCTGAGGATAAGGAGGGATGAAGGGTGTCAGGGAGGTCCAGGCTGCGTGAGAACTTGCCGTTGCGCTTTAGGATGCCTTTCCTCCTCCGCACTGCTTCCGTCCGCATCGTTGGACTGTCCTCTGAGCTGGGGGGGCGGGAGTGGGGCTCGTAAGAGCAGCACATATCTCCATCAACCCCTCTAACTCCTACTCCTGTGCCCGCTCCAGACATCCCTCTCTCTGGGGATGAGCAGTACCCTGACTCCCCCCCATACAGGTTCTTTAGGATCCCCTTTTTGGGCATCTTGGAGGAGGAATGGGAGAACGTAGAGGGGGCAGGCAGGCTTGTGGACAGATCATCACTGTGTGAGTGTGTGTGAGAGTGAGTGTGTGTGTGAGCTCTGTGGGGCTGGGGAGGCAGGTTGCATGGCTGGGAGGATGAGGAGTTCTCCCCCATCACCCTAGGAGGGGGCAGGAAGGCTGAATCAAAGCTCCGCTGGGGTTTCAGAATCCCCTTTGGTTTCTTCCTCTCGACCTGGCCTATGGAGGAAGAGGAAATGGAGGCGGCAGTGGTGGTGTTGATGGCAGTTATAGTGCAAACTGGACTACATGCTCCCAGTGCACTCTGGGGGATAGCATTCTCCTTACGCGACTTCCTTAAACTTGACCTCTCCCCCCTCGACCTCCTCCCTCCCCCGCGATCACCCTTCAGGGGGAAGCTGAAGTAGAACGGGTGAGGGTGAGGAGAAGGGTCAGAGTTCGGGCAACTGGTTGCCGTGGCAACCCGGTTCTGCCAGTCGATGTAGCGGGCGAGCAGCGGGGAGGGGCAGTCCTGGTGGGGGGATGAGGGGCAGTCACACACACTGTCCTCGTAGCCCCAGTTGACCCACCAGTGCTTGGCTATGTCCTCCACCGTGGCCCTCTCCTCTACACGCACTGTCAGTAGCCAGTCAATCAGGGCACAGGCATCTGTGTGCAGGGTACAGACACAGACAGGGCGTCAGTACAAACACCAGGGTTTACAGGACAGTCATGGACTAACAGGTTTACAGTTCATTGTGAGGCTGCAGGTGATGTGTAGGCTTACCTGAGGGAGGGATTGGTCTGCTGTACCGTCCCTGGCTGATCTGCTCTGTGAGCACTCTGTAGCTGGCCCCGTCAAACGGCATACTGCCGTACACCAACGCATACAGCAAGACTCCCATGGCCCAGCAATCCACCTGACACACACACGCCCAGGAGAAACACAGGGAAACATTGTAAGTAAGAGGGTGTGTGTGTGTGTGTGTGTGTGTGTGTGTGTGTGTGTGTGTGTGTGTGTGTGTGTGTGTGTGTGTGTGTGTGTTGTCCTCTCACCTCTGGGCCGTGATAGGGCAGTCCCTTGACTATCTCTGGGGAGGCGTAGAGAGGACTCCCACAGTACGTCTGGAGCAAATTGTCCTTCTTAAAGTGGTTGGACAGGCCAAAGTCAGCCAGCTACACAGAGAGAGAGAGGGAGAAAGAGAGAGAGAGAGAGAGAGAGAGAGAGAGAGAGAGAGAGAGAGAGAGAGAGAGAGAGAGAGAGAGAGAGAGAGAGAGAGAGAGAGAGAGAGAGAGAGAGAGAGAGAGAGAGAGAGAGAGAGAGAGAGAGAGAGAGAGGCATTTTAGGTTAGCTATTGACCAAAGGAAATCTAATTTTCATATTTCTATAAAATAGTTTTTGACAGCTGAGCACCAGTGACTGAAGTGACATACAATATAGTGAATGTATCCTTAATGTCATGAGATAACATCAGGGACATGTTGTACTGTAGACCCCAGGCCAGACTGCTGTCAGCTGTTACATGGAGTCAAGAAGCACACTTAATGATGATGTAATGGGCTAATTAGTCAGTGAGAAAGTAACACACACACGCACGTTACAAATTCCATCCCGGTGACTGTGCTTTCCCCATATTAACCTTGAGGTAGAACACAACAACCCACCACAACACTCCATTCAGTTATTTTAAAAGGGCCAGAAATAGATGTGCGGTCAGGTTTTGCCAACGCAAGGCAGATGATAGAGGAGAGGGCCAAGAACAGCATCCAACAAACACTAATGTATCAGGACCTCAGAAATGTGAGGGCCCAGGAATGCCAGACTGTAGCCTGAGGACCAAGGTCGTCATTGCTATCTGAGTGAATATTAACACGCACGTGCCCTAGTGGCACTGACAATAGAAAGACCTATTGCCTATCCTAGATCAAAATTACCCTTGACCTTACACACAATTATCTCCTCTGCACCTTCTGTTGTGTGTGTGTGTGTGTGCATACGCACGCGCGTGCGTGTACTGTACAGATGTAGGATCTTAATTTGACCAGTGTTGTCCCAGCAAAATAATCCTGCAGCAACAGGATTTGAACATTTAGTCCATAATGTTGCTTGATCAGTGGTTAGGCTATTAGCTGGCCAAAATTAGGCTACATGAAAAGTGCAATACTGTTAATATAACCGTGTGTTAGTGTTTGTTTTCAGTGAATTTTTTATGTCAATCATGAAGCTCATCTATTTTTTCCTGATCAACTTAAGATCCTACATCTTTGTATGTGTGTGTTTAAAAATATATTATAGTTCATTTATATCATAATTGGGGAAGTGTGTGTGCATTGTAAATTCTACCTGGCTCCAGCACCAGTCAGCTGGCCAGAGTTAAGCCTGCGTGCCATTCCTGCTCTCATTTCCTTCCTCTAGTTCTTAGAAGAGGCATTATTTTGCCCTGACACACACACACACACATACATACACACCGCCTCTCTCCATATCTCCTCTGCCCACACGTGCATGAGGATTAGCTGAACTATTATCAGAGGCTTGGAAGGTATGCAAGCTACCTACTGTCTCTCCCCTCATACGCCTATCACTACAGAGAAACTGGGTCAGTGGAAAACTATTATCAGTAATGTGTAAAATACTTAAGTAAAAATACTTTAAAGTGCTTTTGGGTATTTGTACTTTACTTTACTATTTATATATTTTTTACAACTTTTACTTCTACTCCACTACATTCCTAAAGAAAATAATGTACTTTTTACACCATATATTTTCCCTGACACCCAAAAGTACTCGTTATATTTTGAATGCTTAACAGGACAGGAAAATGGATAAATTCACACACTTATCTAAAGAACATCCATGGTCATCCCTACTGCCTCTGACGTGGCGGACTCACTAAACAAAAATGCTTCATTTGTAAATTATATCTGAGTGTTGCAGTGTGCCCTTGACTATCCGTAAATTTAAAAAACAAGAAAACTGCTGTTTGGATTGCCTAATAGAAGTAATTTGAAATTATTTATACTTTTACTTTTACTTTTGATACTTAAGTATATTTTTGCAATTACAATTACTTTTGATACTTAAGTATATTTAAAACCAAATACTTTTAGACTTTTACTCAAGTAGTATTTTACTGAGTGGCTCACTTTTACTTGAGTCATGTTCTATTGAGGTATCTTTTACTTTTACTCAAGTATGACAATTGGGTACTTTTTCCATCACTGACTATTATAGGTGCTTACAGTTTGTCAAAACAGTATCATAATAATATTAGGCCAACCAAAATCATCTACCAGGCAGGTACTATCTTTAGATGGAAAGAATTCTCTAAATATTTTACACGTTTTACAACCTGTTGTAACCAGGTTGTCATGCCATCAGCGGAGGGATAGAACATAACATCAAGGTGAAGCTACATTTCCAGAAATGCTCACTTTACCTACCCATAAAAGTATCTGGTTGGAATGGTGAAATTAAGTAAAGTCAATCAAAATGGTCAAAACTAATGCTAATGTTTTTACAAGAACAATTGTTCCCTGACTATGGAACACCGTTTGGGTCTTTGCGTGTCAAGAAAGATACACGTCAAATAACACTATTTGTCTCTTCAAATAACACTATTTGACACTTCAAATAACAATATGAAAATGATATGCAAATGTTGGCCAATTAAGTGATAATGGATATATTGGCACGGGTGTTGTTAGGCCCGAGACGAAGCAGAATTTGTTCATACCATTTCATCCTTCCACAAGATATAGTCCCGACACAAATCTAGGGTTACTACCAAGGCCGGCTGGTCGTTCGTTCTATCCGTTCGGTTGCCAGAGACGCGACCCAGTCGCTCAGTCTTTTTGTTCTGTATCTATGGACCCAGTCGTTCGTTCTAAATGTTCCATTGCCATACTGGCTGGCAACATTCTTATCCCTTGCTTGCTAGCTAGCCAACTACGGCTAATTTACAGTCACGTCAAATAGTGCAGCCAGAATAACAACAGTAGCTGCATTTGCATTTGTTTAAGGTGTTTTCTAGTTACATGTATTTGGATACGTCGATAACAATGAGCTAATGGGGCGCGATTTCGCGTGGCATAGAAAATGTGCTCACTCGTCAAGGACACTGTTGTTCAGAGGAGCTAGCCAACAACAAAGCTAACACTATCACTTCAAACTGAAGCAGGAAAGACTGCAAACTAGCTGTATTTCGTTTGACCTTTTTTCAATTGACATTTATTTGTATATATCCATAAAAATTATGCCAGCTGATTCATGATTTCGACTGGCTGAGAAACGCTGCCTGCCTGTCTGTCTCGTCCAGACTCCTGCCCCCTTCACATTCATTACTATGGGACAGCTGGAGATCGCATTTGAATATTGAAACAATGTTGCAAATGTCGGAGAGACAGACAGCAAGGTTTATACAAATCTCCGCTGTTGAAAATGAAATGTTAGTCTAAAAGAAATGTGAGATAATATCTAGATGTATATTTTAACCAATCAGCATTCAGGATTAGACCCACCTGTTGTATAATTAAGCAATAAGGCACGAGGAGGTGTGGTATATGGCCAATATACCAAGGCTAAGGGCTGTTCCTTGAACGACGCAACGCGGAGTGCCTGGATACAGCCCTTAGCCGTGGTATATTGGCCATATACCACAAACCCCTGAGGTGCCTTATTGCTATTATAAACTGGTTACCAACGTAATTAGAGCAGTACAAATAAATACTTTGTCATACCTGTGGTATACCACGGGCTCGAACCACCCAGTTTATAATGAGATTTGTAATCATGTAGTTCGAGCCGTGAATGCTGATTGGCTTATAGCCTCTGTCTCTTGCGCAAATGCACACACCTGTGCTCCGCTGGCCTCACTAGTCTAGAATAGCTTGCTGGACATTTTTTATTTTTTATTTCTTATACCAATAGACTATTTTGAAGAGGGACGCAAGCTCTTGTTTGCTGAATATTAAATACAGCAGCCAATAGAACTCAAGGGTAGTTTGAAAGAAGAGCGAACGCGCGATGGCGGTTGGCTATAGCAGTTATTTATTCAGACCCATAACCATTCAATCTTCATGAAGAGAAGTGAAAGCCTTCTGCATGTAATTCTAGTCCTATATTATTCAAGGATGTCATTAGAACGATGAAGATAAGGACAACAAAACGTATTTCATTTAACTATTGAAAGGGAGGAAGGAATGAAGCAAAGAGAGAGAAAGAGGACGTAGGCTAATAACATTAGGGGAAATATTATGAAAGTTACACTATACTGTATATACAAAAGCATGTGGACAGCCCTTCAAATTAGTGGATTCGGCTATTTCAGCCACACCCGTTGCTGACAGGTATATATATATATATATATATATATATATATATATATATATATATATATATATATATATATATATATATAATTTTGTTGTTGTTGTCATTTTAGCAGGTATATAAAATTGAGCACACATCCATGCAATCTCCATAGACAAACATTGGCAGTAGAATGGTCTTACTGAAGAGGTGGCACCATCATAGGATGCCACCTTTCCAACAAGTCAGTTCGTAAAATTTCTGCCCTGCTAGATGTCCTGCTTAATATAATGTTTGTCATCATCGCAAATCAACTAACTACATTATACTTAAAAAACACTTCAACCAGTAAATTTGCTCTTTGGCTAGCTTTTCCTACAGCCTATATCAATGAGCGTTAGCTTAGCATTCTAGCTATCAACTGCTGCATCCAAAATAGTTATTTTGCAAAGATCACAACCAAATATAATCTTAACGACTGTTCAAGCAAGAATCAAAACATCCTTGTAAGCGTATGAGAACCCCCAAAAAGTTATGTTGTTTAGAAGTAATAAAAACGTTAATCTAGGTTATGTTGAATGGGCGCAGATGGCGATGGCTTTCTTACTGCAGACACGAGTCGCGCGCATATGTGCGTAACGTTAGTGTGTCGTATTGGAAAAGGCTCTATTGGTGTAGAACTGCCTATGCTTATCAGTGGTAATTCTCATTTGGTGCGTTTTTTACCTGTATGCTACATTGTTGTATTCAGTCATATAACTGCTTTTACTGTCCGGTCATTATAGTGTTCATGGCAATGCATAGATATTATGTTATTACTGTATCCTACCCGGTATATTCCTACAGTTTGCAGTATGTGGATGTACATTATATATAGCCTATTTTGACATTCCAGAGATGCGCTGTAGGCTATTTATTTATTTTTATTTTTATTATTTTCCATAGAACCACTTACCACGTTTACTGTCTATAAGATAAGTGTGGTGTGGTGAACCCTTAGATCAGTAATGAACCTGTCTGAAGATATCTTGGACTTGTTCTTGCCAGACAGACCTGTGGTGGCTGAACAGTATCCACTGGCACATGTAGCTCTCTAGTAATATCCGTTAGTCATGGTCCTCCCAGATAAGCTTTTAGTATTTTACACCCAGTACCCCATGGCTCTGGGTCAAGGTTGCCCTTAGGCATATATCTAGAATCATGTGGAAAACCTCTCTGGCTCCCCCAATCTTTACATTTACATTTACATTTACATCATCATCTTATCCAGAGCGACTTACAAATTGGTGCATTCAACTTATGATAGCCAGTGGGACAATCACCTTTTTTTTTTTTTAATGGGAGTTGGGGGAAGAAGGATTACTTTATACTATTCAAGGTATTCCTTAAAGAGGTAGGGTTTCAAGTGTCTCCGGAAGGTGGTCAGTGACTCCGCTGTCCTGGCATCGTGGGGGAGCTTGTTCCACCATTGGGGTGCCAGAGCAGCGAATAGCTTTGACTGGGCTGAGCGGGAACTGTGCTTCCGTAGAGGTAGGGGAGCTCAGTAGGCTCAGTGGTCTAAGGCACTGCATCGCAGTGCTAGCTGTGTCACTAGAGATCCTGGTTCGAATCCAGGCTCTGTCGTAGCTGGCTGCGACCGGGAGACCCATGGGGCGGCGCACAATTGGCCCAGCGTCGTCTAGGGTAGGGGAGGGAATGGCCGGCAGGGGATGTAGCTCAGTTGGTAGAGCATGGTGTTTGCAACGCCAGGGTTGTGGGTTCGATTCCCACGGGGGGTGTGAAAAAAATAAATAATCAAATAATGTATGTAAGTTGCTCTGGATAAGAGTGTCTGCTAAATGAGTAAAATGTAAATGTCTAGCAGGCCAGAGGTGGATGAAAGTAGTGCCCTCTTTTGGGTGTAGGGTCTGATCAGAATCGTATACGTTTTTGCAGCTCACTCTGACATCTCTCCTTCTTCCGGTGCAGAGGTGTCTGGCTGTTGAACTCTCTCACTTCCCTGACCTTGGCCAACTGACCCCTGATTGGTTGCAATTACACCTTTTTGTTTGTCTGAATTTGCGGGTTTTACACACCAGCCAAGATTCTGGGAGTGTGCAATGGTTCTCTCTTGATTACCACCTGTGGACACATTTCCCCTGGACTCCTTTAGTGTGTGAGCGTCACTGCCCAAAGTAAGTGGACTTTGTGGAGCCAG